ATATTTAAAATCATTATCTTATTGAAAAATCTAATATTGATATCTGTATATACTAGTTATATTATTATATTAATTCTTATTGAAAATCTATTAGTAAAGATATTAATTCATATTTTTTATAAATATGTATATTTTAACTTTGTCACATATACAAATTGCTTCTTATATGTGAAGCTTAAATAAATATTTTATCATTAATGTGATAAACTTATTAGAATATGACTAGATCAAGCAAGTATTCAAAAATATCTGCAAAGTTATTTTGTTAGAAAATATTATTTTGAGCCAGTTATAATGAAAGTAATTCTATATCCACTGTAACTGATCTCTCTTGATCTGTTTAATAAGAAGTAAAATGTGTCTCAGCTAAAGATAGCTTCTTAACTATTACAACATTATGATAAATAAGCATTATCAGATTGCAACTAGTTATAATCTTAGTAATTTTAAGTTGCAATATTATGATAAATAAAGCATTACTATATTACAATAGCTGTGACATCTATCATTAGTCTTGGTAAAGTAGTAATATAGTAAATTCTGGAAAGTTTATCACAAATAGTTTGTTCATCTATCTCAAAGTCATTATGCATTTCTTCAAGCCAAGTCTTGATTTCAGCTGCTATAACAAAATGATTCAAATTCACAATTTTGCTAATTTGGTGAATAAGATTTTGTGTGAATGCCAGGATGGCGAATTTCTGGAATTTGGCCATTTTTATGAAGCTGAACCATGTAACATAAAGAGGAATGTCAGTTTTTTGAGAGATTTCTATTACATTTTAATGGTCTTGTCATCATAAATTCTTGACTACTTCACAGTTTGCTTGTATGGGATTGTGTGCCATTTTAAAGATGAAACAGATTATTAATCAAAACATTTCAGCTTAGTACAGATCTGTACCATACTGGCAATGGCTTTTAGGTCATTTCAGAATGACAGAATGCACTCCGGCAGAGGTTATACATGTACAATTCGAATGGCCATTACTTTCCAGGGGGACTGTTTTATTTAATAAATACCAGTTAAAAAAGGACTTTATTTTAATAATTTTTATAAGAATAATAGTAAAATATAGTAAAAATGGATTTTTACCATGATTTATTATAAAATTCATCAAAATAAAGTACTTATTTGACTGGAGTTTATTAAATAAATATGAAATGAAAATGGTTTAAACTTACAAAATATATTCTTTATATCCTAAAATATGTTTTTACAAAACTATTTTCAAAATTACCTATTGAAAATATTTTTAAATAATTTCTTTTCCAAAATGTATTTCATGTAGACACCTAATCCATCACATTTTACACAAAATTCCGCAAAATTTTATTAAGCTAACATGCCTTGAAAATCTTGTTCGTAATATCTAAAGAATATATCTACAAATTTTCGTGAGTTTTGGATGCTTCATTGTTAAAATATAAGCGAAAACGTTACGCGCCATTACTTTCGCCGGGGACTGTACGCGTAGAAACAAAGAATTCGTCTTGGTCGTGCTTTCTTGCAAAATTCTCAATATTTTACCATCTTTAATTTCATATGATATCATCGGGGATCTGTTTTGTAAAAAGAAAAAATAGCAATGAGCTAATGAAATTAATAAAAAAAAAGAATAACGATAAAGTCACCGACTGGAATGTATAAACAGATACTCGTAGGGAAACGTTAATACAACATATTTCGAAATAGAAATGCATGCCTTTATCGTTATCAGTTCGGAGTTGAAATGTTAGATATTCGACTGAATTTGTTTTTTATTCAAGTTTATAGCAATGCTTTTTTGATTTAATTGCTATCTTTTTAGAATAGATCCTCTTCAATACATGTATTTTTTTCTGTTTTAGGATATTCTAAGAACGGTAATACTGAAAATACAAATAAGTTTCCGTAACGGTAACGGTAGTTGAATTTAATTAATTGTTACTGTATATCGATATAAAACAATGCACGAATCTAATATTAATAAACTGTGTTAGAAATCTCTTCTCAGGAAGCTTGAAAAACAATATGTTTCTTATTGAGAATACAAAATGCATATTACTGCTATAAAACAGAAAATTAAAATTGTTTTCAATGAACACTGATTGCAATTCGAATATTTGAAAATTTATAAACTTGTTTCATTGTGAACTAACTTGAAAAGAGACAACAAGGATGAGTATTTTTGTAATGATAATGGTTTTTTTTTGAAAATTTAAGCTCACTATATTAATCTCTAAAAGGACAAACTCAAACTCGTGAACAAGTAGTATGTTTTTAACATTAAATCTTTATTCAACTACGCCTTTCGAATATCAATCCTTCGTCTTCATTAAACTTCACGAATCCTGCTTTAAGTACCTTTTTCCTCGGTGGTGGATTTATCGGAGTAATTTTATATCGTAAAATAATTTCAGACATCAACTGTAAAAACCAAAAATTAAGTCATTCAGTCGGATTTTTCCTCTTCAAAAAAATGAACCTTCTTAAGAGACTCACAATTTTGATTTCATTTATTGCAAGAAACCTTCCTGGACATGCATGTCGTCCAAGTCCAAACGGCAGAAAATCACGACCGATTTGTGTAGCTGAAGATTCTTTTTCAAGATACCTACGACCGTCGAATTCTGTTGCATTAGCACCTTGTAGTTTTTCGTCGTGGTATATGGGATTAAGATAGATTGAGACTGCACGTCCTATAAAAAATCCAAATGTAATTATTAAATAGAAAATTAAAGAAAGTTTTGAAATGTGCACACCTTTAGGAACTTGATATCCATTAGAAAATTTGAATTCGGAATCCATCGTCATATGAGTTAACCCGACTTTGAAAGATACGAATCGCGTAATTAGAGAAATTTGATGTATCAAATATCTCACAATTTATTTTAACTTTTTTACCAGCATTGCCAAAAGTTCTCATGGATTCTTTAACAAAACTATCCAGCCTATGCATTTTTGCCAATAATTCATATTTATCAGCATCATTATCCATGATTAGTTGTTGCTGTTCTTCAAATAATTCATTCCAATATTCTGGTCGGGCTGCATATTCTATAGCGATAGTAGAGGTATATGTAAATTTTTAATTCAAAATATTATCAGATGTTTCGAGAGGGAAATCACAGAAGTTCATACCTTGTAATGTATTAAAGAAGTTGAAGCTGGTAGTGTGAACCGCCACCCATACAAGCAACAAAATATAAGAAACTATTCGACTACAATCAACTTTTTGTTGGTTTTTTTGAGCATATTCAATCAAAGTCTGGATCAAATCATTCTATAAAATTCAAATAAAAATAAGTGTATTATTTTGAAAGACCTCATTATTAAACCCTTAGTTTAACTCACAGGTCTGTGATAAGATTCCCCAAAGCTTTGGTCTTTTAGTCGTTTTTCTACAATTGGTTTAATGCGACTAATCAATAGAGCTTTATGATCGCTTACTGCGTTATGACCGAATTTGAATCGGAATCTTTATTAAAACAAAAACAAAATGATCAGAATTAATATAAATATGAAGATTGTATTATCCTTTTTTCGCATAC